GCCTGTCGAAGACAAGCTAGGCAAATAAACCCGATGGTGTCCTGAAAACCTGACTTCCCACCAAAACGCAATCCCGAGTAAATCTGAGTCTTACACTTTTTAAGACTTTGTAAGTCGTCTAGAAACTCTTGGCTGTGAAACTCGGCAACCTGCCAGGCGAGTGGCTGCAAAGGCGGTAACGCTGGCGTCTCTTTGAGGACTTCCTCCTTGCATGCCTTGGCTTGCACAAGACCGTGAATCTCTCAATGCAGCTGATCCAGTCCTGCCGGCCGTTGCAGATCCAGAAAAAGCAACGAGGATAGGGCAGGGGAGTGCTGCAGGTCTGTAGCACTACATGCTGCAGAATCACGCCAAGTTGTGGTGCACCTTCCGCTGGCTATGCACAACGCCTCAGTGATCCTTTGCCCGTCACACGAGCATGGCACTTGACAGTTGAGCTGATCCGGAAGCTATCGCTTCTTGCTGCCCAAGCGCATCCTTCGCTTCCATTTTAGGCGCAACGCCTCGTACACATGCCAGAGAATGAAGCAGAATCAAACAGATACGGAGCTGGACAGGCTCTGCACAAGTCTGGTCAACGTTTCTGCCAATTTGTGCTATATATACCCCTGCACAAGTGTTGCAAGCAAGGACGACTGAATACACATGATTAACTTCCCGAGTTTGTGGTCAGTTAACAAGTCAGGAGAAGTAGCACTGAAATGCACTGAAGTAGTGCATCAATCAACCACACCCGGGTCGAGTCTAATGTGCCACAAATGACAAGAAATACTACACACCAATCGTCCTTCAAATCCTTCAATGTCTTAAGATGCCTTATGTCGCTCGCGCACTTCTTCCGATGCCCACCTCGGGCGAGATCGGCTACACCCTCCGCACGCAGGAACTTCAAACGAAGCTTGTTGGCAACCTGGCGTGTTGCGGTCTGAAGATACAGTAGAACCCTTCGAACTTTCAACAGGCTCCGATCAATCTCCTCCCACACAGGCCACCGACTTGAACGGAAATTGCACCATCACCGACGTGCCAAGAAGATCAGACGCCGCTGGGGCCGAGGCTACCAACGAAATCTGCATACTGCTATGCTGCGCCACTTCGTTGGCACAAACGAGCCTCAGCTCATCCACACAGACACCCGCAGCTTAGAATCAAGACAATCAAGGTCTTGTTGCAGACATGGCAGCTCGTCGCCCCGTTGAACCGTCGGAAGGCCGTGGTGCTCACGCTGCAGTTGCCACCTTCCGGCCGGCGAGTCCGGGTCGATGCCCACGACGATAAGCCTCTAAGCAAGACGGCCAGACACCCACCTGTCTCCCTGTTTCTCCTCTCCCGCCTCTGCTCGCAGAATGCTTTGCTATGCCATGCAAATCCCCAGGCTTCTCCTTCAGAAACAAAAGAAGCCGCAGGCCAGCCATTGTGGAATTGTGACCATTCCGACTACCGCTCCTGGAAGCCGCTCGAGGCAGACCTTTCACAGCTAGAGCAGCCAGACCCTACCCGCCCCCAGCTGTGCTCGTCGTTGACTCAGCGCGCCTCAAGGCCCTTTCGGCGCGAATCTTCGTCGCACCCCTCGGGTTCTGGCTCTGGCAGATCTTCTCTGGCCTGCAAACGGCCGACAGCATGAAGACAAGTGAAGCTAAACATGTTGCCGGCCTTGTGCCTGCGATCCTGCTCGATGTCTTCTGCTTTCTCTGGCGAAGACTTCACAGACACCGGTGAGGCGTCTTCGATGTCTTTTGGGCTATCTGGAACCTCTGCAGGAGCCGAGTGCACCTTGGCAGAAAGCTTTTGAGCATCGTCGTGGTGAATTTCTCTCTTGATCTCCAGTTGGGGCACTTCGTAGCAGTACGTGATAATTCCAGCTGAAAAAGCCACCGCTGCCAGAATGAGTACCAAGACATCGAGAGGCACCTGCATGGTGCAGTGTGCAGGGGGCGGGCGGGGGGGGGGCATCAAACTCAAAAGCAGTCTCTTCGCGCGCAGTTCCGACACTTCCAGTGGATGGTGGCGACCGAGTGCCAAGACTTGCTCAGCTACTACCAGTAGAAAGGCGAACAACCAGAGACTGCACATGGCTGACTGATGCAGCTTGTGCACTTTTCAAGCTGTACTCTGCCCGCTGGGCGCGCACACAGGTACGATTGCATTGCTACTTACACAGTCAGTAGCACTCGCTATTCTATCCCATGGCAATCCTGTCTCGTGTCCCCGTGCCTGCCGGGCTACTTGTTCCCAGATCCCGGCCGTGGTCTCCATGACTCCTTGCAAAGCTTGTCAAGACTTGCTGCACCCGTCAACGGTCAGATGAAGGCAAAGACTAAGGAAAAGAAGAAACAGTGCCACTGGCCTGGAGAGGGTCACCACAGCCTCTTGGACGATCCATGCACTGCGAAAGCAGTGTTTCGGCTGTGCTCCCCTATCTCCGAGCCAAAATTTGCAGAGGTGATTCTGAGGTGATCGCCTAATCGCCATCAACGTGGAAGCGTGGGATGAGAGGAATCCCGATGAGGTCTTCCAAGCCCACTATCTGCCAAAGCCGTGCGACTGTTGTGAGCAAACCGAGCTGCTGGCCCATCTTGCTTAATTTTGCTCGGATGTCTTTGGCTGCCTCGGAACGGCTGCCAGCTCAGAGCTGCATTGGAATGTGATAAACCAGAAGTTCCTTAAAAATCATCCCGGTGTTAAGGAGTTTATAGCGACCGCATGGTGTGGAAGCAAAACTTGCAGATCAAAGCCTCCCAAAGGTCTGCGGAACTCGTCCGGCCATCACCTGCGTCGGACTTCCGTGAATCTCCTGTTCTAAATTGAACCGAGGCTCAACACACCATTGCTTCACTATGGAAGCAGCTGAAGCCAAGCCAGGATTCCAAAACTCCAAAGATTCCGTTCCTCCCAGAATCAGTGTGCGCCTTGCTTGGCTTTGCCAACACCGTTCCGCGCTACAGCGGGGCTACGGCTCCGGCTTCGTGGGCCTGCAGAGAGAGAACTATCCTGGGGGGGTTGTTGTGAGGGCGTGGCCCAAGGAAATTTAGGCAGATAATTGCAAGAGCGGTGCAGCACGTAACCGAGAGAAGAGTGGTCAATGTCAACGTCTGAAGCTGCTTGCCGCGCTACTGGCAGGAGATCGAATGCACTACAGAGGAAGAGAGTCGTTTAGTTAAGAAGATGACGTGGTCGATGCAAGCGCATGTGGCTTTGCGAACTGCGAACGTCAGATTCAGCAACATGCCCCTCGTTGGTGCGCACAGAGTCTTGGGGAAAGCTTGGCGACGTGGGACGGGGGTCAGGATTCTGCAGCCTGTAGTTGCGAGGCAAAAAGCCTTTGGGCAGGAAGGCAACTCAAAGGCCGTTTGTGGAGGGAAAGTGGGGCCTTCGGTTGAAAACAATCCGAGACATGTTCGCATGCACGTGGTGCATGCGTTTGTGAACTATGGTTGCCGACTTGTATGGGTAAGGAAGCGGCACATGCGGCACCGCACGAAGTACACTTCTTCGGTACAAGGTTCGACAAGCCAGTTAGGCGAACGCGCGGTGTTGATGGTGAGTGTTCTGTAGATACTTCTCTTTTCGTGGGGTTGAGTGCTTGAAAAGCATGGACTTGTTGTGAGGGCCTGCCCATGCCTGCCCCAAGGAAATTTAGGCAAATAACTGCAAGAGCAATGCAACACGTAACCGAGAGAAGAGGAGTCAATGTCTGAATTTGCTTGGCGCGGTAATGAAAGAAAATCGAGCCCACGACGGAGAAAGAGAGTCGTTCAGTTAAGAAGATGAAGCGGTCGATGTGAGCGTATGTCACTTTCGAACTGTGAACATCAGATTCAGCAACATGCCCCTCGTTGGTGCGCAGACTCCCAGGGAAAGCTGGGCGACGCAGGACGGGGTCAGGATTCTGCAGTCTGTAGTTGCGAGGCAAAGATCCAGAAGAGACCAACAGAATAAGAAAGGCACAAACGGTCCGTGGTTGCCGACCTCGCACCCATGAAAGAAAAGACAATGAGACTGTGTTTCCGCTCCCCCCTCTCGCGGCAGGACTCCGACTCTGCAGGAAGCCTCGCTTCTGTCAGAACGCAACAGCTACAACGACGGCATCATGCTCTGCTCTGAAGGAAGAAGCACCATATGAGCGGTCACAGAAACATTGTCCGTGCAGTAGCTGGAATCGTTGACGCTCGTTGAGCTCCGTGCGAAGCAAGCAAGCCTAGACTTCAGAAACGTTCCCTTTGCACATGTCACACTTCCGCAGATTAAAACCACTGCACTCGAAAACACTCATGGAACCAGTACAGCACAACCAACGCCTCGGTTCGGCTTCTCAGCTTGTGGCTTTTCCTGGCAAGGCAGAACTGAGAATCACTTCGCACCTCCGCTCAACTGTGCTTTCGGGATCCGACCCATCAGAATTTGCGGGAAGCTTGCATGAATGCATCAAAGGTGATGATGTATCAGAAAGCGCTCTGCAAAACAAGGCCGAAGGCCCGAAGAATCTGGCTGCCCCGGTTAGACTTGAACATCTCGACTATCTGTCTTCAGCACATTTCAGCTACAGTAGTTGGGTCTGTGCCATCCTCTCGATCAAAGCGCAGCAAGACCTTATGCGGTGCCAAAACGTTGAGTTCGAGCAAACCCACATGAGCCAGACCTCGTCATCGGAGGCATCCGATCCACTCCCGGCCGCGATGCGTTTGCGCTGTGCCTGCATGGCAGTAGATGTGCCAGCACATTGCTGATCCAGGGTCCAGGGTATCAGTTCCTCACGGCGAAGTTTGTGCAACAAAAGCTTCAGTACGGATCCAATTCCTCAACCACTGCACACAAAACCCGCGCAAGGTTGCAGATGTGGCAAAATCTGCCCCTGCATCCCACTCCGACCTGTACTTGATCCGTATCGGCTGGACAACATGCCTATCGGCCTATCAAGTATGGCCTTCCCTACCCCAGCATGAAACGATGTTTTGTTCCCGCTTGCTCCCACATCCCGGTATGTATTTAATTCGGTCAGTTCACCATCGGGTGAGCCAACGAGTACCTTCCACAGCCCCGAAGCACCACGGCGCCTTTGCTTCCAACTGGGCCATCGTTGGCTTTGGAGCATCAGCTAGTGGGTCTGCGTCGAGGGACATCGCCGTCATTGGCCCTGACCAGGGCAACAGCCACTTCTCTGAGATGGAGCGGGGGTGCTAGTAATGCTAGTAACAACGGCGTCTGAAGCGACATTCCGAGGTAGCTGTGCCTGCTTTCAATTCCCGTTCGAGTCGCTTCTGTTTGGCTATCCGGTCCAAGCCGAACTTCGAGGCCTCTCAGCAACAGGACGTCTTCAACACGGCTGGCTGCCCAGACCAGGCAGGATCTTCTATATAGATCCGCCCGGATAGGACATGATACGGTGGTTCTAGGTCACAGGCTCTCGAACGAGTGTTGAAAGCTATCTTGGCCACCTCGGTAGTGATCAGCAGTAGCCGGAGTCACACTGTTGCCCGCTTGTCTGCTCTGTAGTATACAGCAGCAAACCTACCCAAACTGTGCATGTCGGCTTTTCCTGACGCTGCCGAATCTGCTCAGCAGAAGGCTCACGACAAGTTGTCGGGAACACACCCGACAGGCACTAGAGAGCTAGGCAGCTAGACGACCGCGACATCAAAACACTCCCGCATTCGAGGGGTGTCGTGGAATGCGACGTACATTAGCAACTTAGGCAGCCTTCGCACGGTTGCTGTGCTTGCTGATGTGAGCCTGTGGTGCTATCCCAGGCTTCGTTCCAAACTTTGCTGAAAGTGGCACGACCAGCCCAGCACGTAAGGCGCGCGAATGCCAATCATTTGACCTTCAGCCCGCTTTCGGTTCTTGTGAGTGCTTGTCGCTGAGGTGGACGGATGGGGCCTGGCCAGTTGCAATTTGCAGTGCTGCCAGCGCACAGTCCATCGAGAAACGCGGCTCTCATTAGCCGATTCTAGGTTCGCCCAACATCCGTGGAAGCCTCATCATGCGTTAGTCCGAAGCTTCTTTCCCCACCTCCACCATCTCTGCCACCCCAAGTCAGGATGGTCCCATCACCTGTCAGTTTTTGGCCCTGCCAGCAACGTAGGCCGCTCTTCTACCCTGCCAAGCGACGCTTCACGGCGGCGAAGGCCAGGCGGGTGGCAAAAAGGCGAAGGACACCCCCCTGGCAAGATTTTCCACGTTCACGCGACAGGGACTGGGACTACGGCTCAAGCGCCTATACACGGCTTCGTGCAGATACATGGCAGTTTCCCGTCCTCCACACCCACCAAAACAGTGTAGTGCAGCTTCTTGTTGCAACTTTCTAATGGATGGAACACTTTATCATGCCGCAAGTGCATGACGCAGTGCCAGTGCCTGAAGCTGCGGGCTGCAGGAGCCGGAGTCACCTCCACTCGCCTCAACTATCAGCACCTCAAGCCCTGAGATGACTTGGGTCTGCTTGGCAAGACAACACTTTCTCTACACGTGTCCTGCAAGGCCAATCAGGCATTCTTGAGGTACTCTTGCCAAGGGACCGGGCTGCCCCAGGTCACCACCGAGCCGTCGTGCCGAAGAGCGGCGAAGGCATGGCGTGTACCGCAGATGTGGTAGATGCCGTGCAACCTGGGAGCGAGAGCTCGTCTTCGTCTCGGATGCGAGAGTGTCAGTCGAAGCAACACAGGAAGGTTGACATCAAGGTCACGACCAGGAGACAAACAAGCGCCGGATAAACATGATAAGAGAAGCGGAAACTGCGAACAAGCGAGCAAAAGAAACTCATGGCTCGTGGGTTTTCACGACGTACGATCTGTAGCAAACTCTTGGTCTCGTTGTTGGAACTGACGCCCTTGCGGAAACAAGGGTGCGACAGCTTTTTTGCCAGAGAAGGCCCGATGTCTCTAAATGCCTTGACCCCACCATACATCACCATACCATTAAACTTGGCTTACGGAAGTTTCGTTGATTGACCCGCAAACAGGCCCGAGCCGGGCCAGCAATGCAATGCCAAGTGCGTGTATGTGCGCTTGCACTAACTAGTGTCTTCGGCACGGAGAGGGGCCCCAACGAAGTTCGTTCTTACTGGCCGACTGCTTCCACGCAGCTGTGAGGACACTGCGCTGCAGTCGCCGCCAGACTCCTGATCACGGTCTGCAAGTAATTGGCTCAGTCACATGCAGGCATGGGCAGATGGAAAATTGTCATGGCTCATGTCTCCTTCGCCCCCCAACAGTTTACACGCCCGTCACGTCCTGAGTGGTGCAAACATCAAATCAAGTTGCAGCAAGAGTGGCAAGCACAAAAATGCCAAAGCAAGTAGGTCGAGCAGCGGGTGAGGGCAGCAAACGCGTGGTCCGTGCAAAAGATTCGATCCACCTCTTGAGGCATAGTTTCGAACCCAGTGCGATGATGACATACTGCATGCTCTGTTCCACTGCAGCTCTCATGCGATACAACTTGAGGAAGACTAGTCATGTGCTCTCACTGTTCTCAATTCCGCTGGCCCAGCATGCCCTGTATCCGGCCTCACCCCGGTCCTCCGGCCGTGCCAGGATGTCCCCTGGCTGTTACTGCTGTTTATTTAAGCATCCGTGCAGCACGTCCGAACATGCTTCCAATTAAGCATAAACAGAAATTCTCCGAGACCGGGATGTTGCCGCTGTGACACGCTGTGGCCTCCATCCGACTCCAAGCCCCAAGAGATCACATTGCCGCTTTCTTTGAGGGCTGTGAAGGCCTCTTCAGATCACAGAAGCCACGGCCAGATCTGGTCTACACACTGCAAGACCATTTTGGAACACCGGAGTCGTCACCTGTGATGTCGCATAGATCTTGAGGACCTTGGATCTCAGCTGCGCCTGCAAGGAGATCGAAATAGCTCGAGTCCACGTCAATTCTGTGACTGTTAGTAGTCAGATACATGCAGAAACCTCGCCTGAACTTGGCGCGTGGAGCCGCCGCCCTGGGTTCCATGCTGATTTCCCGGCTTTTGGAAGAGTCTTTTTTGGGGGATTCTGGAACCAGCCAGATCTCTTCAAAAATTGTGGGGATGATGATACAAACAGTTACCTTGCTTCCACATCAGCACATCCGCCACGCTTCTGAGGCTGCAGGACTTGGTTTCTATTTGGGCTGGGCATTCCAGGTCCAGGCAGGTGTGAGTCGTGCAAGCCGGTGCGCTGACAGAGACTCCAGCCGGAGCAGAACTTGCAAGGGTTTTTTGCCAGGGCACGCTGGACAAACCCCAGGAGACAACCTCAGCTGAGCACTGCCGGGCAAGGCGCTGAAAGCAAAAGATGCCGTGTCGGAAACGGTCGCTCTGCTGCCTCCAAGACGCGGAGCCGTTCTCCAGCACGACTGCAAAAGCCACAGAATTTGCGCAAATCCTTGTCAGGTTAGCTGAGTATGTACTGACGCTGCGATGCAAGCTAGTGTGGAGCTTGAAACATGACCGTTCAATGGGCTTCGCAACAGCCAAGGTCAGCACATCTTGATGCCTGGCAGACACGAGCGGATCTCGAATGCAAACCGAAGATTCGATTCGGGTCGAAAGCAAGAAATCGTTCTGAACTGCTACAGTAATGCATGGCTACTACGCTTGAGGCAACTGTCCCCCCGGCAGCTCACTATAGCGCTGTTCAACCATGCCTTCGCCACCGGTTCCCGAACCGAAACGAATCCTCCCAGAGAGCTTGAAGCCCACGCTGCAGCCATTTGCCCCCGACCCGTGCACCAGCCCGCTGTCATCCCTTCAAGAGTTTTTTCACACCCGCCCAGCTCACAAGGTCGCACGGCAGGAAATTCGTCCGAAACTAGCCGCCTTCAAAACTTTAGCCCTTTTTGCTCTCTCTCTCAACAACCACCCCAACACGACTATGCCCTCCCCCTTCCACCACAACACACTCCCTTCAAGCCCCTTCCATCCACCCGCCCTCCATCAAACCTCCAGACCTCAGCACCCTCCATCCACGCCCTTCCATCAGAGCACAAAACGGCCACCCATGAGGCTTTTGTGTTCGATTGTTGCAATTTCAAACTTGGAGAAGTGCGGTAGGATTACCCGTCATGATCACAATTTTGTCGCCCCCCAGCACTTTGGCCCCGCAGCCTTACCCCCTGGTCGCCCCGCCCCCTGGGCGCCTCCGTCCTGACCCCCTTTCTGGCCGCCCGTTCCACCCCCTTGGCACTGGAAACAGCTTCCGAACAAGCACTTGGAACCGGAGCGGTTCCCGAATCGGCTCTCTCGCACGCAAGCGGTTAAATTAAACAGCCATGCCCATGGTGATCTGTCATCTGCCTTGTTTGAGCTTCGAGGCGACTGGCGAGCAGTCTCCTCCCCTTGCCGGATCGCCCCAGGTTGCAACCGTCCCATCCCGCCGGACCTAGCAGACGCATGGAAGCTTGCCGATGTCTTATGGCCGAAACTCGCGGAGCTGTTCGTTGTGAGCAAAACAAGGCTAGTCCAGTTGGGCGTTCCAGCCCCGCCCGAGAACCCCTGCTGCCAGGCAACAGCCACGAAGGCGTGCTCGTTGGAGGCCAGATAACTTACATCACCTCACATCCCACACAATGCAAAACCAGCAAAGGAAGCTTGGGAATGCAAGCGCCACAAGTTGATCGAATCCGAATTGCACGACTCGATCCGCACCTGTCTGATAACGAAAACTTGCCAGATGGCTGAACCACAATCAAACGCAGCGACCAGCGAAGACATTTTAAATGGTACAGTTGGAACATCTCTTGAAAAATGGGGACGTTCTGCTCTCCGGCACGCCGTCCGCCCGCGTGGTCCTGAGCACCTGGTCCGTTTACTCCTGCGTTCTGTCTCTTCTTCTTTCTCGCCGCAGTCTTGAACGAGACACCCCTCCTTGCTTGCTCAAGCCTTGAGACGCAGACAGTCCCTGCAGCCCGCTCGAGCAAGCAAGGGCCGCGGTGAGGCACAACAAGGCCCACCAAACTTCGACGAGCCCCGAGCCATCCAGCAATGCCCTTCTTTACACTCTCCTCTTCAGAATCCGACACACGGAAAACCTGTGACACCAGCTTCAAGCACCGATCTAGGACCAACAAGTTAGCGATGGGCTTGGCTGCACATGGCATCATGAATCAGGTGCCCAGTTTCAAAGGTTTCGGAGAACAACACGCAGATAAGTTGCTGGTCATGCAGACTCCTTGCGAACTTTGGAACTTAATACAACCGACCTGCCTTTATCCTCGTGTGCAAAATGTGCCTTTAGTCTCGCCGTTTCCGTGGAGAAGTGAGTCCAGAGCTTGTCGCTCCTGTTGTCCCTGTCTCCCAAGCCTTCAGGAGCCTCTTCCACGCTGTGCCTTTTCCAGCAGTGCTTGTTTTCCGTGTCCCCCCCTCTGTCAGGCCTTAGGCGTACTGTCGAGCCACCCGCAGAGGGGCCGATTTCAAGATTGGCATTGGCTCAAACCCTCTCAGCCGGCTCTGGAGCCAACCCCCAAAAACTCCCATCCCGCCAATGCAAGAAGTACCCCAAGCAAAGGTGTGACACTTCAGCCAAAACGGCTCCACTCCAGGCTCTCTGTCGTTCTCTATAGGGCCTGCAGGTCCTATCGGATCGGGACTATACGAGCCAACGCAAAGCCACGGGAAAACAGAGGCCGTCAAGCGAATCAGGCCGAGGAGCGCTGTAGCTGATCGTAGACGTAACGGCTGTCACCTGCCGTCTTGGGCATTTGCAGACACCCTCTCGGTTCCTGACGCGGGTGCCTCCAGCCGCCGCATTGCCCCAGGTCACGACGTGCCCGTCGGCTTTCAGAGCTGCGAAGGCACTGCCAGTACTGCAGATCTGCACCACACCCTGACAGGAGTGAAAGGAAGGCCTGTGCCCTGACAGAGGACATCTCTGGTGCACTATAATAACTATAACATCAGAAGTCACACGACCTGCTACAACTCTCTCGGTCGAGGGCCACGCGATACCAAATGCAATCCTACGGCACACAAACTCTATACTCTAGGCCACTAGCACTGGAAGACTGGCCGTGCAGCTGAAGGTCACCGTGCAGTTGCTCGCGGACAGCAGCCGTGTCTGCGCCGTACGCTTGGTGCCCCCAGACCACGACACCTTAATTATTGGACATCCTGGCACTTGCACGTGGGGCAGCTCAGTGCAGCTCTGGTGGCCTCCTCCACGTCGCAGAGCAGCGAAGGCACCGCGATTCCCCACAATTCGCGTCACCTCCACAAGCCTGATAGAGAGAGACTCACTCCTTGCCGCCTATCTCAGTCCCTTTAGGGTGATGCATGGCAAGGATTCCCTGGCGCTCGCCTGAAGCCTGGGCAAAGCAAGAACATGTACCTTCGAGCCAGGGAGCTGTGTTTCCACTGCAGAGCAGTCACCGCCTGCAAGCGGATCTCCCCAAGTCAGGACACCTGGTCACAAACAAATCTCTGATGCATTCTGATGCCACAGCTAGGCTCTCAAGCACTTGATTCAAAGGCACGACCATCGTGAAGCAAGGCAGCAAAGGCTGTATCCGTGGACAGTATATTTGCAACTTGACCTCGTCAACACAACTGAGACTGGGTGGTACAGACACATGCGTCTTGAACTTGTTGGCAGTTTAGCTCCTTTGAGGGGCCAGTTATGTAGCACCTCTGCCAGGCGACGGTGGAAGAGATGTTGCACGAAGCGGCTGTCGCCTCCGCCCTCCGGATCGCCCCAGGTCAGGATATCCCCATCCTCTGCTTCGTGGCTTGGGCGCCAGGGGGAAGTCTGAAATAACTTACGCACTCAAGCACTCCCAAGCAAACACCGAGAGATCAGAAGCCCACAGCCTCACAGCTGATTCCTCCGAGGCGCGGGATTGATGTAGGCAAAGGCTCCTGCAGGTGAAGAAAACTATAGCAACGAGAACTCTCCGTTGATACCGTGCTCTGAGGCTGCAAAGACAAAGCGTCCTCTGTTGGTATACAGTCGCACTTCATCTGCCAGCTGAGCTGCCAGTATGCCCTGCGGACATAGAAGCAGGCAAACGCAGCCGTACTTTCTTGCGTGTCAGCACCCTGCAGCTAGGGTGGAACACATGAGTTTATTGTGACGGGCTCATAATGCCAATCTCGTCTTGCTAGTCATTGCCTTGACTGGTAGAACTGCACAGAACTCTGAGTCTGCGCTCTCTGGTGGCAGGTGGCGGCTTGGCCTCTTGCAGCCAAGTGGCACCATCCTTCACGCCGGCCTCCGCTAAAGTCATGTGATCCAAAAGACAGCCGGAGTCAGAGATCAAGCTCGTCGCCACGACGCCTCAGCGGGCGGGTTTTCGACTCGGCGGTCGGCGACTCCGGAGCCCGGAGCTGCGGCCCGGGGCCCTGGCCCAAAGCCACCGCGGCTTCGGCTTTCGCTTCTGACCTGACGGTGCTTTGCAAACGGGGTGTCAAGCGCTCCTTGTCTTCAGACTGAACTTGCGCATCTTATGCCACAAGTATCATCCTGCCGCTAAGGTGCACTCTGGCATCGCAGCGAATGGTGAGGTCAGCACATTCTCCAGAAATGAGAACCTTGTTCAGGCGCGCATGACGCATAAACTCTTCGACCTTGCTGTACACTTTTCAGCGGGCTACGACTTGGAGATGTAGCTGCTTCGTGTCCGACTTCCGCCGACGTTGCCCTGACGGGCCACGAGCGACAGCCATCGGAAGCCATGGGGATGGCGCGGCTGAGCAGCAGTGCGGCTCCCAGCATGCAGTTGGCTACTGCCGGGGTTGAAAGGGGTCCGAGCAGTTGTGTTGCCTTGTCCTGCGCGCACTTGTCGCCGCTATGTCATGTCGGAGCTCAGGACGGATTACTCTTATAAGGGCAGTCACTACAGGCTTAGCTTCTACATTCCATTCAGCCTGAAGCCATGTACCCAATAAGAGTCCTCAATGTCACCTGAAGCTGACTGCCGATGCCGCGGCAGTTGAAATCCGATTCAACGGCTGATGGCAACGGGCAGTGGCAGGATACGTCTCGCAAACCCAAAATCGCACGGTGCTTGAACAGCTCCTAGTAGCTTATGCAGCTTATGACATGGACAGAAGGTCCCGGCATTGTCTTGGCGCAACAAGCCACCCTCCTGGAGATCCGGCGCCTGTTTTTTGGGCAGCTCCACAAAGGATTTTATGCAGACATGTCGAGTAGAGAGTGCTGACTAAGCTTGGGGCATCGAGCTGGTCAGTCAGCTGGGCCTCAATCTCTGTATTCAGTCTGAGCTGCTTTGTACCAGCCAGTAGCAACATTGCAAGAGACTCGCGCTTGCAGAGCACACTCACCGACCAGTCATGCAAGCGGTCTTGGATGCCATACATGCTTGACGGCCGCTGTCTGCCTCTCCCGCCTCTCCCTGTGGGAGCACTTGATGCAAAGAATTCTAAGAAGTGCATAGAAGTGCCACAAGCCGAACCGAGCATGACTGCCATCTGCATCCCTTCGAACAACTTTCTTTTTGAAGCGAAAGCGATAGTCCGATAGTCTTTTTAGATGCCAGAGTCACAACTTTGGTGGGCTCATTTGAAGCTGCAGGAGATCCTTAGGAAGCCCCTGCGTAGCCGCCGGTATCATTGCTGGGCTTCTCAAGAAGCTCCTTGAAGCGTCTCACGGTTTCCATCGCCTGGACTCTAACTCTAACCCCAAGTGCAGGGCGCGGTCCGGGGCTACCCCTGGCAAAAGTAAGTTCCATGGGCATGCTCAAAGGACTTGGCACATGATTTGGGCCCAGGAACATGCGGCTGCACCATGTCGAAGAGCGCCTGACCTGAACTCAGGACAGATACCTTGACCTGAGCCTGAAATACGAGCACACCAAAACCACTCCCAGCGAAAATTAGCTCAAGGTGCTGAACTGACCGAGGAAGGTCACATTGGTGGACTCGCTGCTGTCGCTGGTCGCCTCCATGATGTAGCCTCCATGACTTGGCGAAGCTGTTTGGGAAACGTCGAACTACACATCCCTGCCAGTCTTGCTGATTCTTGACCAGCAGCAGGTGTCTCATGTCACGGTGGCTTAAAATGGCAAACAATCGAACTCTACTATTCCGTTACTGCGCCGCCTGAGTTGTGCACCTGATGGTAACAACAATCGAATTCTACTATTCCGTTACTGTGCCGCTTGAGCTGTGCACCTGATGGTAAGACTTCTGTCCGCTGAAGATCATCCCGTGGTGGAAAGCGCTTGTCGGATCGCACGCTCCGCGAGCAGAGGATGAAGACATTCTGGTCAGGCTTCTCCTGCCCACAGCGATTTCTGAAACTGCTCAGCCAAGTATGGCATCGTAGGGATATGCAGGGATCGCGTGTGATAGTGGCGGCATCGTTCACACAGACAGGAATCCATGTGGCAGCCAGGAAACCTTTCGTGAAAGAACTGGCTCCTCGTAGGCTCGCAAGACAAGGAGTTCCTGCTTCGGCTTCTTGGTGGGGCTCGTGTCATTGGGCGGCGGCGCCATAACCATCCGAACCTGGCCAATTCCTACTATATGCCCAACATCATCCACTAGATCACCCTTCCTGTCAATTTTCTGAATGAGTGGGCAGCGAAAGGATTCTTGTTTCAAGTTGTCGGAGTCTGGATAAGCGCAAGCACAGGGGATATTCCACATGAGGCGTGTGGCGCCAGGGCCTAGAATGTGGCAAGCCAAAGGGTCGGGAACACGTCAAACCCCGTGTTTGCGGGCCCTATCAGGCTTCATGTCCTGAAGCTGAGGGCAGCACAAGATCTGCGGAGTTGCGACAGCAAAGGATGACTTCAGCTTCGGTACAGTTCACGTCGAACTTCATCCTGGTGAGGGCGCACAAGACTTCAGCGTGAACGTGGGTGCCACGCATGCGTGTGCTGCTCGATCAACAGACAGCTTCAACTTTTGCAATACTTGGCAGTCTCCCCCTTTCCAGCTTACAGACCGTTCGTTGGACACCATACATAAGCCATAGGCCATAGGCCGTTACTTAAAGTAAGGTGCCTGGCCAGAGCCAACATGTGCGGACCCTTTACTCGCAAGAGAAGAGCTAAGAGCGCCTGCTGCTGGCATCCTTCAGCAGCTGGAAACAGTCCTGACTTCTTCCCGGCGCACTAACAGGCTCTTGCAGGCTGCATTTGATACAGAAGCAACCTTTCGGTCAGACATGCGGCGGCCGGTGATCTCTTGACGGTCGCCTGCGTCTCAACAAACAAATTTGGTTTGTGCACACACAAACGCACGCACACACTCTTGCTGTGAAGTCGCAGGCCTTGATTTTCAGGCGCGACACGGAGGAAGTGTTTCGCAATCCGAACTCCACCCAGGCTTCGACGCCTGTGGCTGCGCAATGCGGGAGTGTACATCGCGCCTAGCTGAATCCTGAACCCACGAGTGGTTTTCAAACCTAGGGTGACCGACGGAAAAGATGGAGATTTCTGCCTTCCGTGGTTGTGAGGAGGCGCTCCCAGCGAAGCGTGGCGTTGTCGTTCAGGCAAAGAATACACGAGAGGCATTGCACAGCCACCTCACATGTGCACAGCGACGGAGCGAAACAATGACTGTCTTCAAGCTACTCCCAGCAGGCCTGCTGCGCCTTCTCACTTTCCGGATCAAAGTCAACGCTGAACCTGCAGCCGCACAGGAGCCTAGGCCTTGATCCACAACGATACAAGCACCAGAAAAAAACTCAGTCGAGGTACTTCTGGCACGATGACGTGCAGGTAGGTTGTGACCTGTCGCTGTCTTGGACCTAGAATTGGCTGCACCCTGCGATTGTGGAGGGACGCGGTTGGAGAACCACACGTTGGCTACTTGTAACCAATTATAACTCATTACTGACAGTTGCAACAGCCACGAATGGTGCAGTGAGACTTCCACATGCCACGACTTTACCGCAAGTGCAAGTCGGAAACATCAGGAAAAGAGCAAAGCAAAAGCAACATTGCGGTTCATTGGTCTGTCTGGTTTGGTAATACTTGCCAGATCAGGGCAGTGCTCCTGGCACCCAGTTTTCGCCGAGAGCGGAATGCCCCAGGGACGTTTTAGATTTATGGACCCAACCAGACTTCGCACCCACAGCGTTCTTTCTCTCGCTCGGATGGTCATCCTACAACTCTGCCATGAACTCGCTGCGATCCTCCGTTGTCCTTGGCCTTGCCGAGGAAAGCTCTTCCTCGGCCGCGCTGTGCAATTAGATCGCGTCAGCTGGGACAGTCACATAAGGGGTTTGTAATACGGTTTCATGATCATGATGTTTCTTCGCAGGTTCTTTTTTGCTCGCCACTCGCCACACGCCCTACCGTCGATTACCTCACTCCTGTCCCGGCAGAGACCGGATGATGTCGGAGTCACCTGGACAGCATGCGCTAAGAGCAAACGCGTAGGGAGCCAGCTGAACACTTGTGCGCTGTGACCACTCGCATGAGTCTGAGCCCTCCCTGCCTGGATCTGTGATGGACAAGCAGCTCACCCGATAGTAACGCCCGCAAGCCGTGCCAAGCTCGTTGTTGTCTCCGTGGAAGTGATGGACGCCAGTTTTAGCCAGCATAGCCTCAGGCTGCTAGGCTACTAGTAGTAGGCGAAACAGAGTCTGTCGAAACTCAGCATCTCCGACCCATCTACCCCGAAGTCTTAGGGCCACTGTTTTAAGTGAGCAAGTCAGGGTAGCATAGTATTCAATCTCGCTCTTGCGGAGGGCCGGGCAGTTGTTGGAGATCCTCAGCTCCGGCTGCAGCCACGGAAAGAAAAGGCAAGCAGCAGGTGGTACTTGTAGACTAATCGTCGAACCACATGCATCGGCGGCCTGGCCCTACTTGCGACCTCCCTGATCTGCTAAGTAAATGTCGCCAGGAAGCAGCACCAGCTTGGACTTTCCTTGCCTCAGGGTCTTCAGCGTCGTTTTGTAGCCCAAGCTGTACCTGAATGACGACAGACGTGACGAAACACTAACAGCATCCTGCAGCTGAGTCCAATAAACAGGTGGCCAATCCGAAAACCGTCTCAGCCAGGCACTTCCCACTCTTCATCACCAACTGCAGCCGAGCATTGATGGAGTCGGCGGACTTGGATGCCTTTGACTGCTTCTTGGTGCTCGACATGGCTATCAGGCTCGCGCGGATGTGGGACGCGCTGGCAAGCGAAGAACACGAGGTCCTTTTTATCGAGCCGAAAGAGGCAATCCATGTCAAGTTGCACAGCAAATGGCCCTGGCTCGCAGCCTACTGGGAGTGTACTGTGGCAACGTAGTGGATAGGCGTCGCAGGCAGGACGCGCACAAAAACGAATACATAAGTATACAGTATACCGACAAGCTTCTACAACTTAAGTATGTGCAAGTAGCGACTCATGTGGGGCAGCCTCTCTACCGTTCCGCCGAGGCTCGGGATAGCGGAATGCAGTCTCGTGCCGCCAGTAGTCTAGCAGCATGCGCAGGAGGCGCGGCATGTCAGGCTGAGGTATCCATCCTTGCAGGGACGAATGGCCAACCATCCAAACGATCAGACGTTTTATCAAGGGCGGAACATGGGCAAGATGATTCAGCAAAGGCGCCAGTGAGCTCCTGGACCCGGCTAATATCTGCCATGACGATTCTCTCGTCATAGGCCCGGAGGCGCGAGACATCCATCTCTAATCGCAGAGTAAACGGATCGCCTGATTGATTCTCTGGACTCCATGAAGGGCTCAGCAGCACCAACTCATTGAGGAGCTGCTGCATGCTGTAGGAGACATTCGAGCCCAGGTTCACGACGGTGTTGCTGGGAGCGACTTCGGCCAGGCAAACGACCACGGGAGCTGAGTCGACGATGTCCGTAATGTCGCGTCTAGTTGACAAGTCCCCGTGGCGTAGCACGGGTGGGGAAAGAAGGCCCCGCTCCACCATAGCGACCTGCCTGGCAAAATCATGCAACGCCAAAGCTTCCACACCGCGCGGTGCTAGATGGATGAAGAACCGCGGAACGATGACATGCAGGCCATGTGCACGGGAATACGACAAAGCAAGCAGCTCGGTGGCTGCTTTGCTGACACCATATGGTGACACAGGCTTCATAGCTGCCTCCTCAGGCACGGGGCCATCCCAGTCCTCTGTTGAGGCACCATACACGGTCGAAGAGCCTGCGATCACAACTCGCGCGCTCTTCATTTTCAGTTGACGTGCTGCCTCCAGTATGTGGAGCGTGCTCATCATGTTCGTGGACAAGGTCTCGGCAGGCTGGTCAAAAGACAAGCTGTTG